GAGCATAGTAACTGAAACTACCGTTACAACAAGTGAGATTACAACACCAACCCCCATCCAAGACCCCTTCTACACCCAGTCCTGAGCCTACTGAGACAACTGCACCCAGCCTATCCACAAGCATAAACACACCCACTGAGAACGTGGAGCAGACTACACCACAAGGGACCTCATCTGAGTACACAGTGATGTCTAGTTCTTTCCACCACCGAACAACCATCCACAACAGAAGTGTCTTCTCAGTCCACATTCACTACCTCCTCCAGGGAGCATAGTACTGAAACTACCGTTACAACAAGTGAGATTACAACACCTACTCCCTCCCAGACCCCTTCTACACCCAGTCCTGAGCCTACTGAGACAACTGCACCCAGCCTATCCACAAGAACAAACACACCCGCTGAACACCTGAAGCAGACTACACCACAAGGGACCTCATCTGAGTACACAGTGAAGTCTAGTTCTTCCACCACGAACAACCATCCACAACAGAGGTGTCTTCTCTGTCCACATTCACTACCTCCTCCAGGGAGCATAGTACTGAAACTACCGTTACAACAAGTGAGATTACAACACCTACTCCCTCCCAGACCGCTTCTACTCCCAGTCCTGAGCCTACTGAGACAACTGCACCCAGCCTATCCACAAGAACAAACACACCCGCTGAACACCTGAAGCAGACTACACCACAAGGGACCTCATCTGAGTACACAGTGAAGTCTAGTTCTTCCACCACTGAACAACCATCCACAACAGAGGTGTCTTCTCAGTCCACATTCACTACCTCCTCCAGGGAGCATAGTACTGAAACTACCGTTACAACAAGTGAGATTACAACACCAACCCCATCCAAGACCCCTTCTACACCCAGTCCTGAGCCTACTGAGACAACTGCACCCAGCCTAATCCACAAGCATAAAACACACCCACTGAGAACGTGGAGCAGACTACACCACAAGGGACCTCATCTGAGTACACAGTGAAGTCTAGTTTCTTCCACCACCGAACAACCATCCACAACAGAGGTGTCTTCTCAGTCCACATTCACTACCTCCTCCAGGGAGCATAGTACTGAAACTACCGTTACAACAAGTGAGATTACAACACCAACTCCCATCCAAGACCCCTTCTACACCCAGTCCTGAGCCTACTGAGACAACTGCACCCAGCCAATCCACAAGAACAAACACACCCGCTGAACACCTGAAGCAGACTACACCACAAGGGACCTCATCTGAGTACACAGTGAAGTCTAGTTCTTCCACCACTGAACAACCATCCACAACAGAGGTGTCTTCTCAGTCCACATTCACTACCTCCTCCAGGAGCATAGTACTGAAACTACAGTTACAACAAGTGAGATTTACAACACCTACTCCCTCCAAGACCCCTTCTTACACCCAGTCCTGAGCCTACTGAGACAACTGCACCCAGCCTATCCACAAGCATAAACACACCCACTGAGAACGTGAGCAGACTACACCACAAGGGACCTCATCTGAGTACACAGTGAAGTCTAGTTCTTCCACCACTGAACAACCATCCACAACAGAGGTGTCTTCTCAGTCCACATTCACTACCTCCTCCAGGGAGCATAGTACTGAAACTACCGTTACAACAAGTGAGATTACAACACCTACTCCCTCCAGACCGCTTCTACACCCAGTCCTGAGCCTACTGAGACAACTGCACCCAGCCAATCCACAAGAACAAACACACCCGCTGAAACACCTGAAGCAGACTACACCACAAGGGACCTCATCTGAGTACACAGTGAAGTCTAGTTCTTCCACCACTGAACAACCATCCACAACAGAGGTGTCTTCTCAGTCCACATTCACTACCTCCTCCAGGGAGCATAGTACTGAAACTACCGTTACAACAAGTGAGATTACAACACCAACCCCATCCCAGACCCCTTCTACTCCCAGTCCTGAGCCTACTGAGACAACTGCACCCAGCCTATCCACAAGAACAAACACACCCACTGAACACCTGGAGCAGACTACACCACAAGGGACCTCATCTGAGTACACAGTGAAGTCTAGTTCTTCCACCACTGAACAACCATCCACAACAGAGGTGTCTTCTCAGTCCACATTCACTACTCCTCCAGGGAGCATAGTACTGAAACTACCGTTACAACAAGTGAGATTACAACACCTACTCCCTCCCAGACCCCTTCTACACCCAGTCCTGAGTCCTACTGAGACAACTGCACCCAGCCAATCCACAAGAACAAACACACCCGCTGAACACCTGAAGCAGACTACACCACAGGGACCTCATCTGAGTACACAGTGAAGTCTAGTTCTTCCACCACTGAACAACCATCCACAACAGAGGTGTCTTCTCAGTCCACATTCACTACCTCCTCCAGGGAGCATAGTACTGAAACTACCAGTTACAACAAGTGAGATTACAACACCAACCCCATCCAAGACCCCTTCTACACCCAGTCCTGAGCCTACTGAGACAACTGCACCCAGCCTATCCACAAGCATAAACACACCCACTGAGAACGTGGAGCAGACTACACCACAAGGGACCTCATCTGAGTACACAGTGATGTCTAGTTCTTCCACCACCGAACAACCATCCACAACAGAAGTGTCTTCTCAGTCCACATTCACTACCTCCTCCAGGGAGCATAGTACTGAAACTACCAGTTACAACAAGTGAGATTACAACACCTACTCCCTCCAAGACCACTTCTACTCCCAGTCCTGAGCCTACTGAGACAACTGCACCCAGCCTATCCACAAGAACAAACACACCCACCGAACACCGTGAAGCAGACTACACCACAAGGGACCTCATCTGAGTACAACAGTGAAGTCTAGTTCTTCCACCACCTGAACAACCATCCACAACAGAGGTGTCTTCTCAGTCCACATTCACTACCTCCTCCAGGGAGCATAGTACTGAAACTGGACCGTTACAACAAGTGAGATTACACCTACTCCCTCCAAGACCCCTTCTAGAACCAGTCCTGAGCCTACTGAGACAACTGCACCCAGCCTATCCACAAGAACAAACACACCCACTGAGACACCTGAAGCAGACTACACCACAAGGGACCTCATCTGAGTACACAGTGAGTCTAGTTCTTTCCACCACTGAAGAACCATCCACAACAGAGGTGTCTTCCTCAGTCCACATTCACTACCTCCTCCAGGGAGCATAGTACTGAAACTACAGTTACAACAAGTGAGATTACAACACCTAACTCCCATCCCAAGACCGCTTCTACTCCCAGTCCTGAGCCTACTGAGACAACTGCACCCAGCCTATCCACAAGAACAAACACACCCACCGAGACACCTGGAGCAGACTACACCACGAGGGACCCTTCATCTGAGTACACAGTGATGTCTAGTTCTTCCACCACTGAACAACCATCCACAACAGAGGTGGTCTTCTCTGTCCACATTCACTACCTCCTCCCAGGGAGCATAGTACTGAAACTATGTTACAGCAAGTGAGATTACAACACCTACTCCCTCCCAGACCCTTATACACCCAGTCCTGAGTCTACTGAGACAACTGCACCCAGCCAATCCACAAGAACAAACCACACCCGCTGAACACCTGAAGCAGACTAACCCACAACGGGACCTTTCTGAGTACACAGTGAAGTCTAGTTCTTCCACCACTGAACAACCATCCACAACAGAGGTGTCTTCTCAGTCCACATTCACTACCTCCTCCAGGGAGCATAGTACTGAAACTACCGTTACACAAGTGAGATTACAACACCTACTCCTCCAGACCCCTTCTACAGCCCAGTCCTGAGTCACTGAGACAACTGCACCCAGCCAATCCACAAGAAAACAACCCGCCTGACACCTGAAGCAGACTACACCACAAGGGACCTCATCTGAGGTACACAGTGAATGTCTAGTTCTTCCACCACGAACAACCATCCACAACAGAGGTGTCTTCTCAGTCCACATTCACTACCTCCTCCAGGGAGCATAGTACTGAAACTACCGTTACAACTAGTGAGACTACAACACCAACCCCATCCCAAGACCCCTTCTACCCCAGTCCTGAGCCTACTGAGGCAACTGCACCCAGCCAATCCACAAGAACAAACACACCCGGCTGAGCACGTGAAGCAGACTACACCACAAGGGACCTCATCTGAGTACACAGTGAAGTCTAATTTTTCCACCACTGAACAACCATCCACAACAGAGGTGTCTTCTCAGTCCACGTTCACTACCGTCCTCCAGGGAGCATAATACTGAAACTACAGTTACTACAAGTGAGATTGACAACACCTACTCCCTCCCAGACCCCTTCTACCCCCAGTCCTGAGCCTACCTGAGAACAAACTGCACCCAGGGCCAAGTCCACAAGCAACACACACCCCTGAGACACCTGAAGCAGACTACACCACAAGGGACCTCATCTGAGTACACAGTGGTCTAGTTCTTCACCACTGAACAACCATCCCACAACAGAGGTGTCTTCTGCAGTCCACATTCACTACCTCCTCCAGGGAGCATAG